ATCGAAAGTTTAAAAAACGAAAAACTGAAAATCCAAAAAATAAAAAATCGAAAAATCCAGAAGTTGAAAAAACGAAAAATCGAAATATTGAAAAATCCCAAAACTGAAAGAAATATCCAAAAAATTGAGAAATTAAAAACCTGAAAAATCGAAAAATTGAACAATTGAAGAAATGAAAAATCTAAAGTTTGACAAGTCGAGAAATGGGAAAAATTGGAATTTCAAAAATTGAAAAATAATTTCTTCTAGAGAAATAATAACGATTTTGCAATTAAAAATTCCGCCCGTTTGCTTTCGACGATTAAAAAAAAATCATTACAACTGAGACAGGGCGGGTGGGGGGGGGGCTTATATTCTGTGTTTTTTCTTAATAAATAGATAAATAAATAAATAAAGCCTTATTCCAACAGACAATTAGTCTATAGTGGAAACAAATAACATAAACAAAAGTATTCAGAGAAAAGAAAAACATCAAAAATATAAATCTTACTAAACTTATAAACTAGATAAAGGAGTAAACAAATTGAAAAATAACATAAACGAGAATATACATACAAACAAAACATAATATATAGACATAATTTTCTTCTTATAACACGATTACTTTTTCACATGGTAATTTCTCGTAGAAAAATCAGGATTTCATAATTAAGCTCCACCCCTCGGCTGACGACGAATAAAAAGAATCATCAGAACTGGGACAGGGTGGGTGGGCGGGGTTTATATTTTGCCTTTTTTTTTCTTAATATACTCTTTTTATTAGTCGTAAGCCGAGGGGTGGAGCGGAAAAAAAATCATCACAATTGAGACAGGGCGGGTGGGCGGGGCTTATATTTTGTCTTTTTTCTTAATATGTGTAGACGTCTTTTCAGAACAAGAAACTTAAAACATGCTTAAAATGATAAATTCTAGTAGACAAATATGCATCTTGCAATTAAGCCCCGCCTCTCGATCTGACAACGAATGGAATATTCATCACAAATGAGAATTGAGGTCGGGGTGGGTATGGGTGGGGCCTAATCTTTGGCTTTATTTTTTTCTTAATACACATAGTATTCTTTAAACAATGCGATTATCAAAAATATGTTTATAATTTCATCTAGAGAAATAAGGATTTTGCAGTTAAGCTCCGCCCTCTTGGCTCACGACGAATAAAAAAAATTATCACAATTGAGATAGGGTGGGTGGGTGGGCTAAATTTTGCCTTTTTTCTTAAAATGTGTAGACCTATTTTGACAACAAGAAACTTAAAACATGTCTAAAATAGTAAATTTTTGTAGTAATAAAAAAAAACTGAAAATTAGAAAGTTTAAAAAACGAAAAACTGAAAATCCAAAAAATAGAAATTCGAAAAATCCAGAAGTTGAAAAATCGAAAAATCAAACCATTGAAAAATCCCAAAACTGAAAGAAATATCCAAAAAATTGCGAAATTAAAAACCTGAAAAATCGAAAAATTCAAGAATTGAAGAAATAAAAATCTAAACTTTGAGAAGTCGAGAAATGGGAAAAATTAGAATTTTAAAAATACAAAAATAATTTCTTCTAGAGAAATAATAACGATTTTGCGATTAAAAATTCCGCTCCTTTGCTCTCGACGATTAAAAAAAAATCATTACAATTGAGATAGGGTGGGGGGGCGGGGCTTATATTCTGTCTTTTTTCTTAATATATGGACATAGTTTTCCTTGTACAACACGATTACTTTTTCACATGGTAATTTCTCATAGAAAATCAGGATTTCATAATTAAGCTCCACCCCTCGGCTGACGACGAATAAAAAGAATCATGAGAACTGAGACAGGGTGGGTGGGCGGGGTTTATGTTTTGCCTTTTTTTTTCTTAATATACATAGTCATCCTTTCACAACAAGAAACTTAAAACATGTTTACAATAGTACATTTTTGCGCGGAAATATGGATTTTGCTATTATGGGGCGGAGCCTAATAGCAAAATCAGCATTTCCTTATACAAATTTTCAATTTTAAACATATTATAAGTTTTATGTTATGAAAAGGAGTCTTACACAGATTGAAACAAAACGACAAAATATAAACCCTCCCACTCACCCTATCTGAATTGTAATGATTTTTTTTATTTGGCGTTAACCAAGGGGGCGGAGCTTAACTGCAAAATACTCATTTCTTTACAAGAAATTAAAAACATGTTTTGACTATCGGTTTGTTCACAGAATACTATGTATGTTAAGAAAAAAATGCAAAATATATACCCCGCCCACCCAGCCCATCTCAACTTTTTAATTTTTAGAAACTTCAAACACGTTTAAAATGGCAAATTTTCGTAAGGAAACATGGATTTTATAATTAGGATCCGCCCCTACGTCTTCCAACCAATGATTAAAAAAAAACATTACAATTGCGACAGGGCGGGTGGGCGGGGCTTATATTTTGTCTTTTTTCTTAATATATGTAGACGTTTCTTCACAACAAGGCACTTAAAAATAGTAAATTCTAGTAGATAAATATGCATCTTGCAATTAAGCCCCGCCCCTCGATCTGACAAAAAATTTGTCTTTTTTCTTAATATATGTAGACGTCTCTTCACAACAAGGAACTTAAAAATAGTAAATTCTAGTAGATAAATATGCATCTTGCAATTAAATCCGGCCCTCGATCTCACAACGAATAGAATATTCATCACAAATGAGAATTGAGATCGGGGTGGGTATGGGTGGGGCCTAATCGTTGGTTTTATTTTTTTCTTAATACACATAATATTCTTTGAACAATGCGATACTCAAAAATATGTTTATAATTTCTCGATGAGAAATAAGGGTTTTGCAGTTAAGCTCCGCCGTCTTGGCTCACGACGAATAAAAAAATCATCACAATTGAGATAGGGTGGGTGGGCGGGGCTAAATTTTGCCTTTTTTCTTAAAATGTGCAGACCTATTTTGACAACAAGAAACTTAAAACATGTCTAAAATAGTAAATTTTTGTAGTAATAAAAAAAATTGAAAATTCGAAAGTTTAAAAAACGAAAAACTGAAAATCCAAAAAATAGAAATTCGAAAAATCCAGAAGTTGAAAAATCGAAAAATCGAACCATTGAAAAATCCCAACTTTGAGAAGTCGAGAAATAGGAAAAATTAGAATTTTAAATTTTGAAAAATAATTTCTTCTGGAGAAATAATAACGATTTTGCAATTAAAAATTCCGCCCCTTTGCTCTCGACGATTAAAAAAAAATCATTATAATTGAGACAGGGTGGGTGGGCGGGGCTTATATTCTGTGTTTTTTCTTAATAAATAAATAAATAAATAAATAAATAGAGCTTTATTCCAACAGACAATTAGTCTATAGTGGAAACAAATAACATAAACAAAAGTATTCAGAGAAAAAAAAACATCAAAAATATAAATCTTACTAAACTTATAAAATAAAAACTTGAAAAATAACCTAAACGAAAATATACATACAAAGAAAACATTATATGGACATAATTTTCTTCTTATAACACGATTACTTTTTCACATGGTAATTTCTCGTAGAAAAATCAGGATTTCATAATTAATGAAACAAAACGACTAAATATAAGCCCGCCCACCCGCCCTATCTCAATTGTGATGATTTTTTTTATTTGCCGCGAACCAAGGGGGTGGAGCTTAACTGCAATATACTTATTTCTTTATAAAAAATTAAAAACATGTTTTTGACTATCGTGTTGATCAAAGAATACTACGTATATTAAGAAAAAACGGCAAAATATAAGCAAACTGACACACCCTCCCTGTCTCAATTCTGATGACTCTTTTTATTCGTCGTAAGCCGAGGGGTGGAGCGGAAAAAAAACATCACAATTGAGATAGGGTGGGTGGGCGGGGCTACATTTTGCCTTTTTTTCTTAATATTTGTAGACCTATTTCGACAACAAGAAATATAAAAACTCAAAAATCGAAAAATTCAAAAACTGAGACATCGAAAAATCGGAGGATCGAGAAATTGGGAAGTCGAAAGCCGAGAAGAAAAGTTAAAAGTTCAAAAAATTGAACAATCAAAACATCGAAACATCTGAATTCGATAAATCGAGAAACCAAAAAATTGGAAAATCGAAAAATTTTAAAGAAAAATTGGAAAATCGAAAATTTAAAAATTCGCAAAATTGGTAAATTGAAATAAAGAAAAACTGAAAACTCGAAAAATCGAAAAACTCAGAATTTTTAAAATTGAAAAATTAAAAGTTTAACGAAAAATTGAAAATCCAAAAAGTCAAAAATCGAGAAATCAAAAAATCCCAAAACTGAATAAAGTATCCAAAAAATTGAGAAATTAAAAAATTGGAAATTTGAGACATCGAAAACTAAAAAAGCAAAATCGAAAAATCGTAAGCTTGAAACATTTCTCATTTCTCAATGCTCGAGAAATTGAAAAATAAAAAATCGAGAAATCGAAAATTTGAAGAACGGAAAAACTGAAAAAGCCCAAAATTGAAATATTGAAAAATAAGGAATTCGAAAAGCCGAAAAATTCCAATTATATGCCACAAGTTCAAGACTATGCTACTTTTTAACATTTAAATAACATTTTTTCGACAAAATTGTAAGGTAACATTATTAATTCCTGGGGGCATGAACGAACAAATTTTCACTAACGATTTAACATGCTTCCAATAACTATAAATTGGAATTTTTTTTTTCAAAAATCTTGACGTCTAAAATAAAAACTCAACACGGATTCATAAACTGTAAACACAGGATATAAAATTTAAGTTACATCTACTATTGTAATATTTGGAGATTACGTTATCACACAATTTGAAATGAAAATTTCAGCTCTAACGAAAATCGGCTTAGAGTCGATATTGGCCTGAGTGCGCTCTGGTCTGTAGATTAAACAAGTTCTCAGGCGACGATTAACTCAGGTTAATATTTAGGAAGAACTTTTAGTAGGTACACTATTTTTCAAATGACAATGGTTCTCAGTAATGGAGGAAATGTACGAAACAAGTAAAATTATTTTATTGATGAAAATTGTAGCTGAGTTGAGTTATGAACATGAACATGACTTTTTACAATCACTAAATGAGCTGTAAAACTAAAGATGAATATTTACAAGAACTACTATATTTCAAACATATAAAAATAACACGGAAATCTAAAGTTCTTACAAGTTTGAGTCGTACTAATTTATTACACAGGAAAAAGAAAACACACATAAAAGACAACATGGCAGTATTCTTGAAATAACTATATATAAGTATATATAAAAATTTATAAAACAGCTAGCCTGAAAAAATAGAGATGGTTGACTAAATCCTACGCTAATCATCAAATATGATATATTTCAATTAATACAACAATTGAGCTTGAAAAGAACAACTACCAGAACTAAATTGGTTGATATGTTGATCAAAAAACACACAGCACTAATTCGAAATAAACCAAATTCCCCCACTTCTTTTGATTTACATTTTGTACTTAAGTCGCAACTCAGCGACACGTGACACTCCTCCCCCGTAAGAAAATAATGCAAGATAACCTCTTCGCATATCAAAAGCTTGTAAATATTGTCGTAGCAAACATGTTCAAAAATAGTTAGTTAGCAAGAAACAGCTAAGTACGATCCGTAAAATATGAACAGTTTAATCAAAATATACCATATTCTAATTAATGGGCTCTTTACTAACAAAACCGTAAGACGTATAGGATCCTAGGGGATGAAATCGACCGTCGTCAACCCCTGTTGGCGCGTTACAGGATCGACCCTTCTTACGAATCGGTTTTGTGGACCCTTGACAACGTAGGGCGAATCTTAATTCAGTTGCCATCTCAGCACATAAAGACGACTGCAAATCGAAAAAACAAATCACATTCGAACCTAACCCACTTAATTGTTTTATCTGAGTGGGGAAACGGGGAGAGAATGTACCTAAAGAGAGTCCAATAGGTGACACTTGAAATGAATTTTGCGTCAAAATAAGCTCAAGAAACTACGCTCAGCAACGAACTTACCTCCTACTTTTCCGGAATAAAGGGAAGCAAAAACATATTTCAAACAACTTAGACAGTTATCTATAGAGGTACGGACTACGAGTTCACACATACGACACCGCTTCAACATACTTTACCAAAGCTATGGTTTGATAGACCGCAAAGGACCCAGGTCAACACTGTTCGTTAGAAAGAGACGGAAAACGTGGGCCGCTTCGTTCGCCGAGAGTGTTGACCGTTCTAGATCCCCGTTCGACGTATTGGTAAAGTACATAATTAGACACACCACAAATATTAATAACAAATTTATTATACACATCTGATTGTGACAATATAACGATACTGGGCGATATTGTCGTTAAATTCGTTCTCGAAAAAAAATGCAAAACCCTGGTCTTACGAAAGCTCGTATGTACAGTCTATTTTTTGACTAACGATTGCAGATCACGTCCTTAACTTTACAAAATGGCAGATTCTTCATGTCGGACCTAACCTTATAAAACTCTAACATATTTACAAACGTATTGAGCTACTCTGGATAAAAATCTGAACAAAGCCGCAACCCGGAGAGGACTTCCTGTGGAACCCCTCTCCGAGTCGCCGACTCTACAAAACCTTAGTCTAGGAGTTTCCCTTATAGCTACGTGTCGTGTAGAATGCTGCTCACCCGTTCTTCCACTGCCACTTTCCTCGACTTCCACACAAACTCGCACACCGCGATCACGCAAGCCACCCCCATGCCGCCCATCAGCACCACGAACACGCCGCCCACGTTGGCCAGCCCCAGCTCGTTGGCGGTGCTGCTCGTCTTCGTCGTCTCGTCCTACTCCACAAAGTCATAAATCGACAAAACAACGCAATTTCCAACTCACCCTGCACGCGCCGCCCCCCCGCTTCTCCTTCCACCACCGCGTCTTCAAGATGTGGAGTTTGCCCTCCTCCTGCAGCTTCAATATCGCCCCGCTAATTGCCGTCCTGAAGGGCGAGTCTGCAAACAAAGCGAATCGATACACATATGCCGCAAAAACTAGATGGAAAAACAAGCGTGCCACGAAAATGGCGCAGTCTCGCGGATCCTGGTCCATATTCAGGAGCATTGAATATTGATGACCGGGCCGAGTAAATAACGAATTCGGGCACTTACTCGGGGGCATCGCGATGCCGTAGCCCTTGGAATCGAGCATGCCGCCCACTTGGGTGAGCTCGCAGTTGCGCTCGATCACGTACTCGATGGACGTCGACTCCATGAGGAAGGCGTAGTTGCCGCGGCCCTTCACCACGCGCTCCACGCCCTCCACGTTGCTGGCGGTGAAGGCGGAAGGGCGCTGCGACTCCATGAAGGACCACATGCGCTGGTACGTGGAGAAGTTGGAGTCCTGGAAGGGGAATGGTCGAAAGTGGAAGTCGGGTCACACTTAAAAATAGTACCCTGAAGAAGGCCGCCGTGGATCCTCCTCGCAAAGCTCCGTACTTTATTTTGGTCTGTTTGGCTAGGTCGTCGGCGCTTTCGATGGGGGAGTCCATGCGTTCCACCGTGAGAAAGGCGGCTAAATTGGCTGTGTACGAAGAGATCATTATAAGGGTAAAGAACCACCACATCCCGGCTACCATGCGGGTGGAGACGGCCCTGGAAGTACCACAAGCTTTTAAAATTTTTGAAGTACCGCGAAGATCGTCTGACCAAGTCAGTTTATAGGACATAAAAAGAGTAATGACTTTCTCAGGCGACCACCGCGTTATTCTTCCCAGTAAACACATACGTGGCATTGACGTGATAGGTACATACTCATAAAAGAACAATATTACATTGCGAAATTATGTCTTACAGTTATATATACAAATATCTATTTTATATTTAATATTCATGTTTGTCTTTCAAAAAAATTAATAAATGAGGCAATTGATATCCTTTTCCTTGCAGAAATATTGATTTAACTTATAAATGTTAACATAAAAAAATAAAATTCGAAAAATCTTCATTTATTTACTTTCGATAAATTTTTTGATATCCTAATTTTTTGTTTATTCATTTACCTTCATTTTCTAATGTTTCTGTTTCATAACTTTCTGTTTTTTCAACTTTAATTTTTTTAATGTTTCATTTTTCGATTTCACTCAATCTTTAATTTCTCAATTTTAAAATTTTCCGTTTCTTCAATTTTTTAAGTTCTCGATTTTTAAGTATTTTTCATTTTCTCCAATTTTTGCCAATTTTTTGTTTTCTAATTTTTTCATTTTCCGAATTTTCGGTCTCCTAATTTTTTATTTTTTTAACTTTAATTTTTTCAATTCTTCTATGTTTCGAGAAACTGTAATTTCGAAAAATTGATATTACAATTTTTCATTTTTCATTTTTCGATTTTAAAATTGTTCGTTTCCTCAATTTTTCAATTCATCCTCCCGATTTTTTAATTTTCATATTTTCGATTTTATATACCAATTTTTGTTTTTCATTTTTCTTCAATTTTCAATTTTTTGATATCCCAATTTTTCGTTTTTTCATTTTCTTTCATTTTACAATATTTCGGTTTCATACTTTTTCCTTTTTTCAACTTTAATTTGTTCAGTTTTTAATTTTTCGATTTTTCAGTTAATGAATTTCAAATTTTCCCGATTTTTTAATTTTCATATTCTCGACTTTATGTATAAATTTTTTTTTTCAATTTTACAATTTTTTGATATTCCAATTTCCGTTTTTTATTTTTTTTTTATTTTCAAAATTTCGCTGTCTTAATTTTTAATTTTTTTCAACTTTAATTTCTTTAATTTTTCAATTTCTGGAGAAATTGTAATATCGCAAAATTGATGTTAAAATTTTTCATTTTTCGATTTTTCAGTTATTTAATTTTTAATTTTTCCATTTTAAAATTTTTTCTGCCCTCAATTTTTCAAGTTCTTGATTTTTATTGTTCATTTTCCCAATTTTTTAATTTTCATATTCTTGACTTTATGTATGAATTTTCCGTTTTTCTTCAATTTTACAATTTTTTGAAATCCCAATTTTTTGTTTTTTAATTTTTTTTGTCATTTTTTAAAGTTTCTGTGTCTTAATTTTTCATTTTTTTCAACTTTCATTTTTTTAATTTTTCAGTTTCTGGAGAAATTGTAATATCGCAAAATTGACATTACAATTTTTCATTTTTCAGTTTTTCAGTTATTCAATTTTAATTTTTCGATTTTAAAATTTTTCGTTTCCTCAATTTTTCAAATTCTCGATTTTCATTTTTTATTTTCCAGATTTTTATTTCTCATATTTTCGATTTTTATATCAATTTTTCGTTTTTCATTTTTGTTCAATTGTACAATTTTTTGATGTCCAAATTTTTCGTTTTTATTTATTTTTTTTCATTTTCTGAAGTTTCGGTCTCTTAATTTTTAATTTTTTCAACTTTAATTTTTCCAATTTTTCAATTTCTTGAAAAATTATAATGTCGAAAAATTTATATTTTGTAAGTTTTTCGATATTATTATTTTTTGAATTTTCGGTTACACAATTTTTTATGCAGCAGTTATTCGTTTTTACATTGTTCTTGGATTTTGCATTTTTTTGATATCCCAATTTTTTGTTTTTTCATTTTCTTTCATTTTTCAATATTTCGGTTTCACACTTTTTCCTTTTTTCAGCTTTAATTTTTTGTTTTTCATTTTTCGATTTTTCCATTTTTCGTCTCCTCAATTTTTCAAGTTCTTGATTTTTATTTTCCATTTCCCCGATTTTTTACTTTGCATATCCTCGATTTTATATATCAATTTTTCGTTTTTTCATTTTCTTTCTTTTTTCAATTTTGCAATTTTTCGATATTACAATTTTTAATTTTTCGATTTTTAGCAGTTTTTAATTTTTTATTTTTCGATTTTTCAATTTTTTGATCTCCTAGTTTTCCGTTTTTTCATTTCTTTCTCATTTTTCGAAGTTTCAACATCTGAATTTTTCATTTTTTCAACTTTAATTTTTTTTATTTTTTGAGTTTCTGGAAAAATTGTAGTATCGAAAAATTGATATTACATTTTTCATTTTTCGAATTTTCAATTATTCAGTCTTAAATTTTTCGATTTTAAAATTTTTCGTGTCATCAATTTTTCGATTATGATTTTTCATTTTCCCGATTTTTAATTTTCATATTCACGATTTTATATATCAGTTTTTCCTTTTTATATTTCTCTTCGATTTTGCATTTTTTCGATATCCCAATTTTTCGTTTTTCACTTTCTTGCACTTCTCAATATTTCGGTTTCATATTTGCTTTCTTCAACTTTAATTTTTTTAATTTTTTATTTTCTCGAAAAATTGTAATATCGAAAATTGATATTACAATTTTTCATTTTTCGATTTCTTCAATTATTCGTTTCCTCCATTTTTTCCAGTTGTTGATTTTTGTTTTTCATTTTATCAATTTTTTGAATTTTCATTTTTGCGATTTTGTAAATTTTTTGTTTTTTCATTTCCTTTATTTTTTCGATGTTCGTTTTCATCTTTTTAATTTTTCGTTTATTTCATTTTTGAAATTTTCAATCTTTGATTTCTCAGTTCCTCGATTTTCCTGTTTCTAAATTTTTCAGTTATCAATTTTTGGTTTTTTCTTTCCTTCATTTTATGATTGTTCCATTTTTCATTATTTCGGTTTAAAAATTTTGCGGTTTTTCAACTTCTCGACTTCCAAATTTTTAAATTTTTCGAGATTAGAAGTTTAGATTTTTCGTTTGCTCAATTTTTCAAGTTCTTGATTTTTATTTTCCATTTTCCCGATTTTTTAATTTTCATATTCTCGATTTTATATATCAATTTTTCGTGTTTTCATTTTCTTTCATTTTTCAACTTTTCAATTTTTCATTGTTTCGGTTTCAGAATTTTTTGTTCTTTCTAATTTCTCAATTTCTCGTCTTCCAAATTTTTCAATCTTCCGTTTCTTCAATTTTTCGATTTGCAGTTTGTTAATTTTGCAATTTTTCGATATTACAATTTATCATTTTTCGATTTTTCAATTGATGAATTTTAAATTTTTCGATTTTTCCAATTTTCGTTTACTCAATTTTTCAAGTTCTTGATTTTTATTTTCCATTTTCCCGATTTTTTATTTTACATAATATCCTCGATTTTACATATCACTTTTTCGTTTTTTCATTTTCTTTAATTTTTCAACTTTTCAATTTTTCATTGTTTCGGTTTCTTAATCTTTTTTTTTCTTTCCAATTGCTCAATTTCTCGTCTTCCAAATTTTTCAATTTTCCGTTTCTTCAATTTTTCGATTTGCAGTTTTTCAATTTTGCAATTTTTCATTTTTGGTTTTTTAGCAGTTTTTTAATTTTTTATTTTTCGATTTTTCAATTTTCTTCAATTTTACAATTTTTTGATATCCTAATTTTTCGTTTTTCATTTCTTTCTCAGTTTTCGAAGTTTCGGTGTCTGAATTTTTCATGTTTTCAACTTTAATTTTTTTAATTTTTGAGTTTTTCGAAAAATTTTTCGTTTCCTCAATTTTTCGGTTAGTATTTTTCATTTTTCCCATTTTTGATTTTCATATTCTCGTTTTTATATATCAATTTTTCCTTTTTACATTTGTCTTCGATTTTGCATTTTTTTTGATATCCCAGTTTTTAGTTTTTTTTATTTTATTTCGATTTCATAATATTTCCTTTTTTCAAGTTTAATTGTTTCAATTTTTCGTTTTTCGATTTTTTCAGTTCTTCGTTTTCTCAAATTTTCAAGTTCTTGATTTTTGTTTCTCATTTTATCGATTTTTTTAAATTTTTATTTCTACGATTTTAGATGTCAATTTTTTGTGTTTTCATTTTCTTTTTTTATTTAGTTTGTTTTATTTTTTTTTATTTTTCTTTTATTTCATTTTTGAAATTTTCAATTTTTGGTTTTTCAGTTCCTCGATTTTCCTGTTTCCAAATTTTTCAGTTATCAATTTTTCGTTTTTTCATTTATTTCATTTTTAGATTTTCTAATTTTTCATTATTTCAGTTTAAAAATTTTGCGGTTTTTCGACTTCCCGACTTCCAAATTTTTCAGTTTTTCGATCTTATAATTTTAGATTTTTCTGTTTCTCAATTTTTTATTTTTCGAACTTTCAATTTACCGTTCCCTTAATTTTTTATTTTACCGATTTTTAAATTTTTTTTTTTTTCTTTATTTTATACCACAATTTTTTGTTTTTTTTATTATTTTGTATTTCCTGTGTTTTTTTCCGTTGATTCAATTTTTCAATTCCTCGATATTCCAAATTTTTAAATTTTTCAATTTTGTGATTTTTCGATTTCCACTTATCCAATTTTCTGGTTTTTTAATTTTCAATATTTTGATTTTACAATGTATATTTCGTTTTATCGATTTCGTATATTTTCGATTTTTGAGTTTCAAATTTTAATCTTTCGATTTTTCAAATTTTCGTTTCTTCACTTTTTCACTTTTTCACGTTTTCAGTGTTTATTTAATGCTTTTTCGTTTTTACATTTTTGAATTTCAATTTTACATTTTTTGCCATTTTTTAGTTGTAAAAGTTAAAAACCGATATATTGAAAAATTGAAAAAAATGGGAAAAAATCGAAAAAACGAAAATTTGCAAAATCGAAAAACTGGAAAACCGAAAAATTGAAGAAACAAAAAACTGAAACATTGAAAAATTAAAAATCAAGAAAATTAAAAATCGGAAAATATTAATGGATCGAAAAATTAGAAAGAAGATAAAAACCAATCGAATCGAAAAATTGGAAAACTCAAAATTTGTAAAATCACAAATGTATTGAATCGTAATAAATGTAAAATCGAAAAATTAAAAAATGGAAAAATTCTAAAATCGTAAAATTGAAAAAAAAATATTTTAAAGTTATAAGTATTATGAAATTAGAAAAATTGCAAAACAAAAATTAAAGAAACGAAAAACTGAAAAATCGCGGAACTCAAAATTCTAAAAAGGAAAAATTAAAAATCTAAAATTTGAAAAAACTAAAAATTGAAAACCGCAAAATTGCAAATCGAAAAATTGAGAAATCTTAAAACTGGAAAAAAAACAATGAAAAAACCGAAAAATTCAAAAAATAGAGAAAATAAAAAACCGAGACGAAAAATTGCAAATCGAAAAGTTGAACAACCGACAAATTGGAAAACAGAAATAAAAAAAAACAAAAATTATTAAATCGGCACATTGATAAATCCAAAAATTGGAAAGAAAAAGAAAATAAATTAAATACTGAAACGAAAAGTTCCAAATCCAGATTTAAAAGTAAAAAAATTGAGAAGTCGAATAAATGAAACAGTTTTAAAATCCAATAATTGAAAAATAGAAAAATTCCAAAAACGTAAAATTCAAAAAATGAAAAATTTTAAAAATCTAAAAGTTGAAAAATCTAAAAATTGAAAACTGGAAAATTGCAAATCCAGAAATTGAGAAATCCTAAAACTGGAAAATTTCACATTAAAAATAATTATAAAATCACAACACTGAAAAACCGAAAAATTGAAAAAATAGAGAAAATAAAAACTCGAAACGAAAAATGGCAAATCGAAAAATTCCAAATTCCAAAAATTGAAACACCCAAAATTGTGAAAATCAATAAACTGAAAATTTTAAAAACTGTCTTAACATATTCAAAATGGCAAATGGAAAACTGATTAAATAAAGCAAAAAAAACCGCAACAAAAAATTTCAAATCGAAAAATTGATGACATGAAAAGCAGAAAAATGAAAAATTGAAAAAAAAATGAAAACTGAGGAAGCAAAAAAAAATAAAAATAAAAAAATTGTAAAGAAAAAGAAAATAACCAACGAAACTAAAAGTTGCAAACCGAAAATTTAAACAAATGAAGAACTGAAAATTAAAAATCGAAAAATTGAGAAGTCTAATAAATGAAACAGTTTTAAAATCCAATAACTGACAAATGAAAAATTCTAAAATCGTAAAAAAATCGGGAAACTGAAAAATTTTAAACTGAAAAAACGACAAATTTAAAAATTTTAAAGTTGAAAAATCAGAAAATTGAAAACCAAAAAACTGCAAACTGGAGAATTGAAAATTCCGAAAAATTTCCCACTGAAAAAAGAAAAACTATAAAATAACAACATTGATAATTTGAAAAATTGAAAAAAATGCCGAAAAAACCGAAACAAAAACTTGCAAATCGAAAAACTGAAGAATCTTAAAAAAATTGTCTTAAAAAAATTTAAACATCCAAAAGTGGGAAAATCTAAAACACTGAAAAACCGAAAAATTGAAAAAATAAAGAAACACTCAAAAGTGAAAAATCCATAAAATTTTTGAAATCAATAATAATCGAAAAACCGAAAAACGTCTAAAACCGTAAGATTAAAAAAATGGGAAATCTGAAAAATTATAATTATTGCAATTGGAAATTAAAAATTGATGAAACGAAAAAATGAAAAATTGAGAAACCGAAAAATCTAAAGTTGCAGAATCGAGAAGCTACAATTCGAAAAATTTGGAAAATCCAAAAAGTGAAAAATTTCGCATTGAAAAAAGAAAAATTATAAAAGCAGAATATCGAAAAACCTAAAAAATGAAAAAATAAAGAAAATAAAACATCGAAGCGTACGAAAAAGTGAAAAATTCAAAATAGAGAAGTCGTGCATCAAAAATTTGTAAAATCTAAAAAGTGAAACATTCAAAAGTTGGAAAATCGAAAAACTGAAAAATCTAAAAATGAAAACTCGAAAAGTTGTATACCGTAAAATTGAAGACACAAAAAAATGATAAATAGGAAAATTGCAAATCACAAAATTGAAAAATACGAAAAACTGAAATAATTGAACTTGAAAATTAATAAACTGATAAAATTTAAACTGGAAAACTCTAAAAATTGAAAGTGGAAAAACTGAAGAAACAAAAAAAAATGGAAAAATTGCATAATTGAAAAATTCAAGCTTCTTTTTTTTATATTATGAATTTATATTTCTTCTATGTTATATTATTTATATCTGCATATCATATTTTTTCTAACTTTAAATAAAATTAAATAAAACGTAGAAAATCTAGCGATGTACTAATGCAACTTTATAACGAAGTACCATCAAGCACGTCTCTAGTCTAAAACAACGTTACCTTGCATTAACATCTCTGCAACGTAACCGTGTTTACTGGTTAAAATCCAAACAAAACCAAAACCACGACGTTAAAGTACCTACAAGAAAGAGTACCACCTATCTACAATCTCAAAAATGTTCGGCCAAATCTACTCTACAGAAACTCTACATCAACACTGCATGGAGATGTTCTAGAAAACAGATGACACCTGCCACAGCAAACATGAACAGCGAACATGAACACTTACTTTGGAGCAATGTCAGAGCCCTGTTGCATCAGAGATCCGATGGTGAACCACAAGGAATTTAACAGAGTGAACTGGTTTTCTAGAACATCCGGATCGCTGTTGCATGGGTGCGGGTTGTCCCATTCGTACGGACTGAACCTGCAACCATAACTCCAGCTGAACTAAGTTCTACTCGCGGCTTACTTTGGTAAGAAGTCGCATCCTTGCTGCATCAAAGAACCGATCGCGAACCACATGCAGTTGAACAGGGTGAACTGGTTCTCGAGGTGGTCGGGGTTGGGGTTGCAGGGGTGCGGGTTCTGCCACTCGTACGGGGTGAACCTGGAAAAGAGCTGACAGTACGGGTGCGAGTACCGCGTTCTCGTCCGTCGGGTGCTAGAGGGGGCGAGTCGTACCTGGCCAGGATGAACAGGAGTACCGAGACGCCGAGGTACGCGGTGGCCATGTAGATCCAGACGTCGAGGGACAGCGGCGACAGGAACGAGAAGAGGTTCGGGGGTTGTTTGATGGGTTTCCGGTACAGGATGCTGATGCCGAGGTTCATGAAGGGCATCGTGAAGTCGACGGCTTGCTCTCTGTCGTACGTAATGGTCAAGTCGGCGATCGCCAAGTCGGCTTTCTGGTCGAGCAGCTCCCTTATCATCCCGTCCCATTCTTTGGTCTCCCGATTTAGCGATCCGTATCTACCATCTGGTGCCAGGCGAATGGTGTAGTTGAAGCCCAAGACACGAGATATCTCGTGAATGAGATCGACGGCGTATCCTTCGAACTGAGCGTTGCCGGTCAGTTTTTCGCTGGCTTCTTTCCGCATGACGTAAGGGGAACTCTGGAAATAAGGGATGATGCTTATTTTTACTTCCTGAGCGTGAAATAAAATACTTTTGCTCTTGTGAGGTATGAATCCGCGTTGAGTTTTCACCCTAGACATTAAAATTTTTTGAAAAAAATCAAATATTTTATAACATTTTGCAATTTAACTTTGAAACTGCAAAACTGAACTTTTGCAAACGTTTTAAAGTTATCGTAGTCGTGGTAAATCGTTAATCGAAATTTATTCGTTTACCCCTTCCCAAAATTTGATGACGTCATGTGAATAATAAATCTTCTCTGAGATATGCAAAATATTATGTTTCTATACGTCTGGATTACTATCAGTGCATTCATGGTTTTTAGAATTACTTATACAGGGTGACTCAAAAAAATTAATGAATGAGGCAATTTATTTTATTAATTATTCTTATTATTTTTCGAAAAATCTCAATTTAAGTACCTTCGACGAATTTTTGATATATTTTTTTTTTCATTACCTTTCATTATCCAATTTTTCCACTTTTCAATGTTTCATTGTCATAATTTTGCAAATTTTTTCTTAATTTTTCAAGTTCTTGATTTTTTTTCATTTTACCAATTTTTAAATATTCATTTCTTGATTTTATCTCACAATTTTTCGGTTTTTTTTTTCATTTCGTCTGTTTTCTTAATGTTGGTTTCTATTTTAAATTTTTAGTTTATTCAATTTTTCAAATTTTCAGTCTTTGATTTCTCAATTTTTCATTTTTTCATTTCCTTAATTTTTGGATTTTTCCATTTTTCATTATTTCGGTTTAAAGATTTTGCGGTTTTTCAACTTTACGTTTTTCAGCCTTTCAATTTCTGGATTTCCAAATTTTTTAATTTTTTGATATTCCAATTTTTAGATTTTTCAGTTTCTCAATTTTTAATTTTTCGAATTTTTCAATTTTTCGTTTCTTTAATTTTTGATTTTTATTTTTTATGTTACCGATTTTTAAATTCTCTTTTTTTTCTTGGTGTTTTCTGTTGATTACACATTTCAAATATTCAATCTTTGATTTTACAATTGCTCGATTTTCCAATTTTAAAATTTTTAAATTTTGCAATTTTGGATTTTCAGTTATCCAATTTTCCGATTTTCTTAATTTTCAATACTTTGATTTTACAATACAGATTTCGTTTTTTCGATTTGGCATATATTTTCGATTTCTGATTTTCTCAAATTTACTCTTACGATTTTTCAGTTTTTCGTTTCAACTTTTCAAGTTCTTGATTTCCAGTTTTTAAATTTTTCGTTTTATATTTTTTTGTGTTTTTTTTTTATTTTTCGTGTTTAATTTTTTCAGTTTTGCAATTCTGTCCCTATTTTGATTCGAAAAGTTGAGAAATCGAAAAACTCAAAAGAACTTACAAAACCGAAAAATTGCAAATAGAAGCGAAGAAACGAAAAATTGGAACGTTTTAAAAAACTGAAAATGGAGAAACTTAAAAATCGAAAAACAATAAAATTTTTTTTTTCCTGTTTTTATATCACAATTTTTCGTTTTTTTCCTGTCATCTGCTTTCTTAATGTTTCTTTCAATTTTATAACTTTTCGTTTATTCAATTTTTCAAATTTTCAGTTTTTGATTTCTCAGTTTTTCATTTTTTCATTTCCTTTAATTTTTCGATTTTTCCATTTTTCATTATTTCGGTTTAAACATTTTGCGGTTTTTCAACTTTACGTTTTTCAGCTTTTCAATTTCGGGACTTCCAAATTTTTCAATTTTTCGATTTTCCAATTTTTAGATTTTTCAGTTTCTCAATTTTTAATTTTTCGAATTTTCAATTTTTCGTTTCTTTAATTTTTGATTTTTATCTTTTATGTTACCGATTTTTCAAATTTTCAGTTTTTGATTTCTCAATTTTTCGATTTTTCATTTCCTTTCATTTTTCGATTTTTTCATTTTTCATTAATGCGGTTTAAACATTTTGCGCTATTTCAACATTAAGTTTTTCAATTTTTCAATTTCTCCACTTCAAAATTTTTCAATTTTAAAATTTTTCAATTTTGTAATTTTGGATTTTCAGTTATCCAATTTTCCGATTTTCTTAATTTTCAATATTTTGATTTTACAGTACAGATTTCGTTTTTTCGATTTTGCATATTTTCGATTTCTGATTTTCTCAAATTTACTCTTACGATTTTTTAGTTTTTCGTTTCTTCAACTTTTCAAATTCTTGATTTCCAGTTTTTAAATTTTTCAGTTTTCGTTTTATATTTTTTTTGTGTTTTTGTTTTCATTTTTCGTGTTTAATTTTTTCAATTTTGCAATTCTTCCCCTATTTTGATTCGAAAAGTTGAAAAATAGAAAAACTCAAAAAAACTTACAAAACCGAAAAATTGCAAACAGAAGCGAAGAAACTAAAAATTGGAACGTTTTAAAAAACTGAAAAAATCCAAAAATTGAAAACTTTTACACCCAAAAAAGACAAATGATAAAATCAGAACCATGAAAAATCTAAACATTTAGAACTCGTGAAATTGAAAATCGAAAAAATGGAAAATCTAAACGCAAAAAAAAATTAGGAAGAACTGAAAAATTGCAATCGAAAATTTGAGGAAACAATTTAAAAAAAAAACAAAATCAGAATATTGAAAAACAAAGGAAATAAAATTACAAATCGAGTGTCTGAAGGAATGAAAAATTGAAGAAGCGAAAAAGTGAAAATTTAAAAAGTAAAAAATTGAAAAGATGAGTAAATGAAAAAGTTTTAAAATCCAGTAATCAAAAAATGGAAAAATTAAAAAATCGTATTGAATGAATTATAATTGAAAAGGCGAAATATTTTAAATGAAAACAAGAAAAATTGCAAATTAAAAATCAAAGAAGCGAAAAATGAAAATTCATCAAACTGAAAAATCTAAAATTGAAAAAACGAAAAATTAAAAATTTCTAAAAATTAACAAACCGAAAAATTTAAAGATTAAAAAATGTAAAAATTTCCCACTAAAATACAATTATTAAGTCAGAACACTGAGAAAATTTGTATAAATAAAGAAAATAAAAAGCTGAACCAAAAATTGCAAAACGAAAATTTGTAGAAATGAATAATCGTAAAATTAAAGGGTGACATATTTTAAAAATTATTATTATTACACATTTAAAATGAAAACTTGAGAAACTGCAAATCAAAAATTGAAAAAACATGAAACTGAAAAATGAAAAACTCAAAAAAAGAAAAATTCAAAAATCTAAAAATTGAAAAATCGAGAAATTAAAAACCGAGAAATTACACATCGAAAAATTTTTAGAAAGAGTTGCATATCTTAAAGTTGAAGACACAAAAAAATGAGAAACTGAAATATTGCAAGTCGAAAAATTGAAGAAACAAAAAATTATGAAAAATTGAAAAACTGCAGATCTCAAAAATTGTAGAAAAGAAAAATTGAAGAAACAAAATTGAAAAAACAAAAAGTTTTAAAATTGGACCATTGAAAAACCAAAAAAATTGTAAAAATACTGAAAATAAAAATCGATAGGAAAAATTACAAATCGAAAATCTGAAGAAATGAAATATTGAATTGAAAAACAGAAAAATTAAAAATCAAAAAATTGAAGAGTCGAGTAGATGAAAAAATCCAAAAATTAAAAAATCGAAAAATGAAAAATTTAAATATTTTGAAAATTATCATAATATTCATATTTAAAATGAAAACTCGAACAACTGCAAATAAAAAATTGAAAAAACGAGAATTAAAAAATCATGAAACTAGAAAAATTAAAGCTGAAAACGAAAAAATTAAAATATTTCACATTGAAAACAAAATTATTCAAAACATTGAAAAACCGGAAAACTGGAAAACTAAAAAAAATAAAAAACCAAAACGAAAAATTACAAATGGAACAAATTGAAGAAACGAAAAATTAAAAATTCGAGAAAACAATAAAGGAGAAAATCGGAAAATTGAAAAGTCGAAAATTTGAGGAATTGAGAAATTGGAGAATCGAAAAACTGAACAATTAAATATCAAAAAATGGTTTTAAAATCACACAATTAAAAAATGGAAAAATTCTAAAATCGTAAATCTGAAAAAGGAAAAAAAAATTATACTTAGTTATTATTCTCGTATTTAAAATAAAAACAAGAAAAATTGCAAATGAAATAATTAAGAAACAAAAAATTGAATAATTCCAAAAAAAATTAAAAAATCTAGAACTGAAAAATCGAAAAATTGAAATTCGAAAAGTTGAAAAACTCAAAAAGTCAAAAATTTCCCATCGAAAAAAGAAAAATGATAAAATCAGCAGATTGAAAAATCGAGAAATTGAAAAAATATAGAAAATAAAAAATTGAAGAAATGAAAAATCGAAAAATTAAATATGAAAAGCTGGTGAAATTGCCCATCATAAAAAGGCAAAATCCAAAAACTGAAATATCCAAAAGTTGGTAAATTGAAAAACTGAAAAATTTTAAAATGAAAACACGAAGAGTTGCAAGTCGTAAAATTGAAGAAACAAAAAATAATGAAAAATTGAAAGATTGTAAAATGGAAAGTTGTAGAAACACAAATTGAAGAAACAAAATTTTAAAAAACAAAAATTTATAAAATTGGAACACTGAAAAATCTGAAAATCGTAAAACTACAGAAAATGTAAACCGAAAGAAAAATTGCAAATCTAAAAATTGAATCGAAAAACTGAAAAATTAAAAATCAAAAAATGGAAAACTCTAGTAAATAGATGAAAAAGTTTTAAAACCCAAGTATCGAAAAATGGAAAAATCGTTGAATTGAAATAGTTAAACATTTTAAAAATTTAAAAATTAAAAAATCCAACAGTTGAAGAATCGAAAAGTTGAAGGATTTCATATTGAAAAAAAGAAAAATGATAAAATCAGAACGAAAAATTGCAAATTGAAAAACTGAAGATATGCAAAATTAAAAAATTGAAAAATTAAAAGTTGCATACTCGTGAAATTCCAAATCGAAAAATTGTAACATTCAAAAGTTTAATTTAAAAACGAAAACTCGTAGGCTTGCATATTGTAAAATTGAAGAAACAAAAAAAATATTGAAAAACAGAAAAATTGTAAATCGAATAATTGAAGAAACGAAAAATTGAAGAAACACAAACATGGAAAATGGAAAAATCGCAAATTGAGAAATTGACGAAACGCAAAACTACAAAAATTAAGATTGAAATAACAAATATTATGAAAATCCAATTAAAATGAAAATTAAAATCTCGAGAAACTTGAATCGAAAAATTGCGAAATCTAAAAACTGAGAAATTCAGAGTTGGAAAGCTGAAAAACTGAAAAATTGCAAATCGAACAACCGAAGAAACAAAAAAAAAGATTGAAAACTTATCAGAGGTTATCAGAACACAAAACCACACACAATTCTTATAATTTTTCAAGCAATCGGGATTTGTCAGACGATCGACGTCCAGTCGAAATGACCTCCGACCAATTTTTATCCGGACGGTTACAGTGTCGCCGATAATAAAACCTACATAAAGTATCCGTACGCGAGGATTGTCGGACATAATAATAAAATGGCGGCATTTGTCTCAGTCGAATTAGGATTTTTCCGGAGACGGCTGGCAGGCTAAGCGAACGATTTATTGCCGGGAATTTCGTGTTAAAGTTGGGAGATTTGGGGGAGGGTCCAGTGGGAATTGACAGGTATTGAATTATGATACTTCTTTCAAACCGGGCCTAAGCTTGTTGCTCGCCATGACGGATTATTTTTCACTAAATAATGCCTTACTAGAATCGTCGTGACGACGAAAGTCTTGTTCTGGATAATCTCCACGATCTGGGTATAGGCCTCCCCGTAAGTCCTCGTAAAGTTGACGCCTTCTGTCGAGTTCCACGTACCTATCTTCTTCAAGCCTTCTTTACTCAGTTCGATGATATCCAGCACGAAATCGCTCCTGAATCCCTGATGGTCGAACTTGATCACTCCGGTCAAGCCCCGCATTTCCACCTGGAACCGGAGCGTTCCGGTCAAAGTGTAATAGTCATCCAGAGCCGTACTCACGATTTTCATGTAGTTGATCAGGCTGTACCCGTGCGGCCACGTGTCCACCGCGTCGCAGCTCAGCGGCTTGATATCAATTTGCTGGCTGGTGTCCAGGTCGTGGAGCGCTTTCGCAAACAAATGCACCGCGTCGTACATTAAGGCCGTTTCTGCCTGAAAATGACGTTTATTAGGACGCGGATGCATTATCCGGAGAGAAATTGCAGCGCAAGCTTTAGGTATTTATGGGCCGGACTTTTGTGTGGTCGTGATTAATTTTAATGCGTGCGGGAATTTACGACGTGGAAGGGAATTTAATTTATAACAACTTAGGAACTAGCGGATTTTTAATGGGGATTTTTTAGGGGCTTGCATGGCCGGCTTTGTCATTAATCTCTGGTTCATGAAAGATTAAAAAGGGGCGTTCGGTTTTGCGACAAAACGAAACAAAGTTAACTTAATGGCCGTAAGTTAAGAATTAGGGTTTTATTGGGCGGAATTGGGTTAATCGGGAAGGCGGAGGCACTCACCTTTACAAAAGTATTATTATCCTGTACGGTAATGCAGCATAAAATAGAAACAGGCCGCAATTACACGAATTAGCAGGGGAAGGGGAGGCGAGGAATCGCCCCACTAGCACATCAGGCTTAAAAAATTGACGAGATATGTTTACGGTAAGTACACGTACGTTCGGCGTGTTTGGCCATCATAACGACCAAGGTTATTAAGTTACGTTATGTGTTACTGTTTTTTTGAATCCAAAATGTAACTAAGTATGTAATAGAAATAACAATGAACACAGAATTATTTCGAGTAAATAAATATTTATCAGAAATTAAACACTACACTAATAAAATAATATGAGTATAAGGCTGAAAACCTCAACGTAGATAATAATTGACCCGTTCTGAAGTTATTTCCCGTTAAATTTTGACTAATTCGGTAATGACATCCGTCCCATATATTTTTCATTTTATTTTAAATACAATATTTTTTTTTTAATTTTAATAAGAAATTTTTACTTTTTTTGGAACACCTTCGAAGATTATCCGAAGATATTTTCCAGCAGATTTCGAGCTGTATTTTTGGCTTCATAACTTTGAAGTTTTCTATTATTCATCGAAAATCTCCAAAAATTAATATTACACTTTTTAGTATTTTTTTCCAAATTTTACTTTTATAGTGAACATTTAGAAAATCTTGTTTCTGAGCGAAAAATGAGCTATATTTTTGGAATTAGCACAACGAAATCTACACCCCAAAATTTTTTATGGATTTTTAGACAAATTTTCCGAAAGTTAAATTTTTCAATTTTAATATGAAATTTTTTACTTTTTTTGGAACACCTTCGAAGATTACCCGAAGATATTTTCCTGCAGATTTCGAGCTGTATTTTCGGCTTCATAATTTAGAAGTTTTCTATCATTTCATCGAAAATCTCCAAAAATGAATATTACACTTTTTGGGATTTTTTTCAAAATTTTACTTTTATAGTGAATATTTAGAAAATCTTGCTTCTGAGCGATAAATGAGCTACATTTTTGGAATTAGCACATCGAAATCTACATCCCAAAATTGTTTGTGGATTTTAAGACAAATTTTCCGAAAGTTAAATTTTTCAATTTTAATATGAAATTTTTTACTTTTTTTGGAACACCTTCGAAGATTACCCGGAGATATTTTCCTGCAGATTTCGAGCTGTATTTTCGGCTTCATAATTTAGAAGTTTTCTTTAATTTATTGAAAATCTCCAAAAATGAATATTACACTTTTTAGGATATTTTTCATAATTTTACTTTTATAGTGAATATTTAGAAAATCTTGCTTCTGACCGATAAATGAGCTATATTTTTGGAATTAGCACATCGAAATCTACACCCCAAAATTTTTTATAGATTTTAAGACAAATTTTCCGAAAGTTAAATTTTTCAATTTTAATATGAAATTTTTTATTTTTTTTGGAACACCTTCGAACATTACCCGAAGATATTTTCCTGCAGATTTAGAGCTGTATTTTCGGCTTGATAATTTAGAAGTTTTCTATAATTTATCCAAAATCTCCAAAAATTAATTTTACACTTTTTAGTATTTTTTCCAAAATTTTAATTTCATAGTGAATATTTAGAAAATTTTGCTTCTGAGCGATAAATGAGCTATATTTTTGGAATTAGCACATCGAAATCTACACCCCAAAATTTTTTATAGATTTTAAAACAAATTTTCCGAAAGTTAAATTTTTCAATTTTAATACGAAATTTTTTACTTTTTTTGGAACACCTTCGAAGATTAGCCGAAGATATTTTCCTGCAGATTTAGAGCGGTATTTTCGGCTTCATAATTTAGAAGTTTTCTATCATTTATCGAAAATCTCCAAAAATTAATATCACACTTTTTAGTATTTTTTCCAAAATTTTACTTTTATAGTGAATATTTGGAAAATCTTTCTTCTGAGCGTTAAATGAGCTATATTTTTGGAATTAGCACATCGAAATCTACAGCCCAAAATTTTTTATGGATTTTAAGACAAATTTCCCGAAAGTTAAATTTTTCAATTTTAATAAGAAATTTTTACTTTTTTTGGAACACTTTCGAAGATTACCCGAAGATATTTTCCTGCAGATTTCGAGCTGTATTTTCGACTTCATAATTTAGAAGTTTTCTATCATTTCATCGAAAATCTCCAAAAAATGAATATTACAGTTTTTAGGATTTTTTTAAAAATTTTACTTTTATAGTGAATATTTGGAAAATCTTGTTTTTGAGCGATAAATGAGCTATATTTTTGGAATTAGCACATCGAAATCTACACCCCAAAATTTTTTATAGATTTTAAGACAAATTTTCCGAAAGTTAAATTTTTCAATTTTAATATGAAATTTTTTATTTTTTTTGGAACACCTTCGAACATTACCCGAAGATATTTTCCTGCAGATTTAGAGCTGTATTTTCGGCTTGATAATTTAGAAGTTTTCTATAATTTATCCAAAATCTCCAAAAATTAATTTTACACTTGTTAGTATTTTTTCCAAAATTTTAATTTCATAGTGAATATTTAGAAAATCTTGCTTCTGAGCGATAAATGAGCTATATTTTTGGAATTAGCACATCGAAATCTACACCCCAAAATTTTTTATAGATTTTAAAACAAATTTTCCGAAAGTTAAATTTTTCAATTTTAATACGAAATTTTTTACTTTTTTTGGAACACCTTCGAAGATTAGCCGAAGATATTTTCCTGCAGATTTAGAGCGGTATTTTCGGCTTCATAATTTAGAAGTTTTCTATAATTTATCCAAAATCTCCAAAAATGAATATTACACTTTTTAGGATTTTTTTCAAAATTTTACTTTTATAGTGAATATTTGGAAAATCTTTCTTCTGAGCGTTAAATGAGCTATATTTTTGGAATTAGCACATCGAAATCTACAGCCCAAAATTTTTTATGGATTTTAAGACAAATTTCCCGAAAGTTAAATTTTTCAATTTTAATAAGAAATTTTTACTTTTTTTGGAACACTTTCGAAGATTACCCGAAGATATTTTCCTGCAGATTTCGAGCTGTATTTTCGACTTCATAATTTAGAAGTTTTCTATCATTTCATCGAAAATCTCCAAAAATGAATATTACAGTTTTTAGGATTTTTTTAAAAATTTTACTTTTATAGTGAATATTTGGAAAATCTTGTTTTTGAGCGATAAATGAGCTATATTTTTGGAATTAGCACATCGAAATCTACACCCCAAAATTTTTTATATATTTTAAGAGAAATTTTCCGAAAGTTAAATTTTTCAATTTTAGTATGAAATTTTTTACTTTTTTTTGGAACACCTTGAAATATTCCCCGAAGATATTTTCCTGCAGATTTCCAGCTTTATTTTCGGCTTCATATTTTAGAAGTTTTCTATCATTTATCCAAAATCTCCAAAAATGAATATTACACTTTTTAGGAATTTTTTCAAAATTTTATTTTTATAGTGAATATTTGGAAAATCTTGTTTTTGAGCGATAAATGAGCTATATTTTTGGAATTACCACATCGAAATCTACATCCCAAATTTTTTTATAGATTTTAAGAAAAATTTTCCGAAAGTACAATTTTTCAATTTTAATATGAAATTTTTTACTTTTTTTGGAACACCTTCGAAGATTACCCGAAGATATTTTCCTGTTGATTTCGAGCTGTATTTTCGGCTTCGTAATTTAGAAGTTTTCTATAATTTATCCAAAATCTCCAAAAATGAATATTACACTTTCTAGGATTTTTTCCAAAATTTTAATTTTATAGTGAATATTTAGGAAATCTTGCTTCTGAGGGATAAATGAACTATATTTTTGGAATTAGCAGATCGAAGACTATATCCCAAAATAGTTTATGGATTTTAAGACAAATTTTCCGAAAGTTAAATTTTTCAATTTTAATATGAATTTTTTTACTTTTTTTGGAACACCTTCGAAGATTAGCCGAAAATATTTTCCTGCAGGTTTCGAGCTGTATTTTCGGCTTCATAATTTAGAAGTTTTCTATCATTTATCCAAAATCTCCAAAAATGAATATTACACTTTTTAGGATTTTTTTCAAAATTTTACTTTTATAGTGAATATTAGAAAATCTTGCTTCTGAGCGATAAATGAGCTATATTTTTGGAATTAGCACATCGAAATCTACACCCCAAAAGTTTTTATAGATTTTAAAACAAATTTTCAGAAACTTAAATTTTTTTATTTTAATATGAAATTTTTTACTTTTTTTGAAACACCTTCGAAGATTAGCCGAAGATATTTTCCTGCAGATATCGAGCTATATTTTCGGCTTCATAATATAGAAGTTTTCTATCATTTATCCAAAATCTCCAAAAATGAATATTACACTTTTTAAGATTTTTTTCAAAATTTTAATTTCATAGTGAATATTTAGAAAATCTTGATTCTGAGCGACAAATGAGCTACATTTTTGGAATTAGAACATCGAAATCTACATCCCAAAATTGTTTATTGATTTTAAGACAAATTTTCCGAAAGTTAAATTTTTCAATTTTAATACGAAATTTTTTACTTTTTTTGGAATACTTTGGAAGATTACCCGAAGATATTTTCCTGCAGATTTCGAGCTGTATTTTCGGCTTCATAATTAAAAAGTTTTCTATCATTTATCCAAAATCTCCAAAAATGAATATTACACTTTTTAGGATTTTTTTCAAAATTTTACTTTTATAGTGAATATTAAGAAAATCTTGCTTCTGAGCGATAAATGAGCTAAGTATATTTTTGGAATTAGCACATCGAAATCTACACCCCAAAATTTTGTATATTTTTAGACAAATTTCCCGAAAGTTAAATTTTTAAATTTTAATATGAAATTTTTCCTTTTTTTGGATCACTTTCGAAGATTAGCCGAAGATATTTTCCTGCAGATTTCGAGCTGTACTTTCGGCTTCATAATTTAGAAGTTTTCTATCATTATCAAAATCTCCAAAAATGATTGTTACACTTTTTCGGATTTTTTTCAAAATTTTACTTTTTTAATGAATATTTACAAACCGAATGCCGAAATCCTTAACACGGGTTATTTCTCCCTACATTTTGAAAACTTGTTTAGTAATTTGGTAATGATATCCGCCCCATATATTCTTCTGTTCATACTCGTCTGAAAATCAGATTACGGCACTAGAAAATTTCAACGAATCGAACCCTGAAAACCTAAATACGAATAATTTTAACCCATTCTGGAGTTACATTTCGCTAAATTTTGAAAAATTGTTTATTAATTCGGTAATGACTTCCGTCCCATATATTTTTTACCCTATACTAAACGTGTCTAGAGTTTCCGATCTGAAAATCAGGTCCGATGACTGCAAAATTTGTAGGAATTCAATGTTGAAAATCACAAAGATACTTAACTTGTTTTGGAGTTATCTCTCACTAAATTTTGAAAACTTGTTTATTAATGCGGTAATGATATCCGTCCCATATATTCTTCTGTTCAGGTTCAACGGGTAGAGTTTGCGGACTCAAAATCACACTACGGCACTAGGAAATTTCGACGAATCGTATGCTGGAAATCTCAATACAGATAATTAACCCGTTCTGGAGTTATTTCTCGCTAACTATTGAAAAATGATTTATTAGTTCTTCTTTAGAGATATTACATTTACATTTTGAAAATAGAGCGAAAATTCCGCTGAGAAAACGTGGGGACTGGCCTTAACGTGGCTAGAGTATCTTATTGGAAAATCAGAAAACTTCTAGGAAACGAATGCTGAAAACCACAAAGCGGATACTTAATTTGTTCAAGAGTTAGGTCGATCTAAACTTAGAAAATTGTTTACTAATTTGGTGATTGCACTATATATATTTTTGTCTCTATACGAAATGGATAGAGTATTGGCTCTGTCAATCAAGTTCTGGGACTAAAAAACTTTTAAGAATCGAATACTGAAAAGCGCAAGCGAATACTTTTAACCCTTATAGTCTGGGTTTATTTGTAGCAAAATTTTAGGAAAATTTTTTTTAATTCCATAATGAGATCCGTCCCAAAATATTTTTAACTGTCCATTCCAAACGGTTAGAGTATCCGGTCTTAAAATTAGACTATGATACTAGAGAACTTTAACAAATCGAATGCTGAGATTCTCAAATCTCATAGTTAACTCGTTTTGGAGTTATCTCTCGCCAAATTTTGAGAAATTGTTCATTAATTCTATACTGACGTCCGTGCCATATATTTTTCGCTTCATACTAAATGGGTAGAGTTTCCGGCGTGAAAATTAGACTATAGCACTAAAAAGTATCCAGAAATGGCACGCTTAAATCCTGGAAGAGCATAATTAACCCGTCCTGGGGTTATCTCTCCCTAAATTTTGAAAAAAAGTATATTAACTTTATAATGACATCCGTCCAATATATTTTTCTCTTGATACTATACGTGCAGAGTCTCCGATCTGAAAGTCAGGTCCGATGACTAGAAAACTTCTAGGAATCCAATGTTGAAACCACAAAGCCAATACTTAACCCGTTTTGGAGTTGTCTCACACTAAATTTTGAAAAAATGTTTATTAATTTGGTAATGATATCCGTCCCATATATTTTTCTGTTCTTACTGAACGGGTAGAGTATGCGGTTTGAAAATTAGACCACAGCACTAGGAAACTTCGATGAATCGAATGCTGAAACCTCAATACGGATAATTAACCCGTTCTGGAGTTATTTCTCGCTAAATGTTTAAAAAAGGTTTATTAATTCTGTAAAGTCACCCGTCCCACATATTTTTCTCTCCATACTCAACTGGTGTAGTATGCGGTCTGAAAATCAGACTATGGCACCACGAAACTTCGATTAATCGAATGCTAAGAACCTCACGGCGAATAATTAATCACTTCTGGAGTTATTTCTCGCTATATTTTGAAAAATTGTTCATTAATTCGGTAATGGCAGCCGTCCCATTAATTTTACTTTCCATACTAAACGTGTAGAGTATCCAATCTGAAAATCAGGTCCGATGACTAGAAAATTTCTAGAAATCCAGTGCTAAAACCATAAGCCCGATACTTAAAGTGTTCTAGAATAATTATGTCAAGCCACACTTGGAAAATTGTTTACTAATTTGGTGATGACTATCGTCCCACATACATATATAATTTTCTCTTTATAAAAAATGCGTAGAACGACGACTTTCATAGTCAGGTTCTAGGACTAAAAACTTCTAAAAGTCGAATTCTGAAAATTCCAAGGCGAACCCTTTAACCGTCCCATATATTTTTCTCTGAATACTAAATGTGTAGAGTATCTGATCGAAAAATCACGTTGAATGATTAGAAAGCTTGTAAGAATCCAATGCTGAAAACCACAAGGTGGATACTCAATCCGTTCTGGAGTTATCTCCCGCTAAATTAAAAAAAATTGTTCATTAATTCTGCAATGATGTTCGTCCCATATATTTTACTCTCCATATCCAACTAGTGTAGTATGCGGTCTGAAAATCAGACTAAGGCACCAGGAAACTTCGACGAATCGAATGATAGTAATCTCAAGGCGAGTAATTAATCAGTCCTGGAGATATTTCTCGCTAAATTTTGAATTTTTTTTTATTATTCGGTAATGACAGCCGTCCCATTAATTTTTCTCTCCATACTAAACGTGTAGAGTATCGGATCTGAAAATCAGGTCCGATGACTAGAAAACTTCTAGAAATCCAGTGCTAAAACCACAAGCCCGATACTTAAACTTTTCTAGAATTATGTCAAGCCAAACTTGGAAAATTGTTTACTAATTTGGTGATGACTATCGTACCATATATAATTTTCTCTCTATAAAAAATGGGTAGAATATCGGCTTTGATAGTCAGGTTCTAGAATTAAAGACTTCTAAAAATCGAATGCTCAAAATTCCAAGGCGAATCCTTTAACCCTTCTAGATTTATTTCTCGTTTTTAGAAATTTTGGAAACTTTTTTATTAATTCGATAATGACAACCGTTCTCATATATTTTTCTCGGAATACTAAATGTGTAGAGTATCTGATCTAAAAATTAGGTTCAATGATTAGAAAACTTCTGAGAATCCAATTCTAAAAACCACAACGTGGATACTCAACCCGTTCTAAAGTTATCTCTGGCTAAATTTTGAAAAATTGTTCATTAATTCTGTAATGATGGCCGTCCCATATATTTTGCTCTCTATACTCAACTGGTGTAGTATGCGGTCTGAAAATCAGACTACGACACTAGGAAACTTTGACGAATCGAATGCTTAGAACCTCAATTCGCATAAATAATCCGTTTTGGAGGTATTTCTCGCTAAATTTTGAAAACTTTTTTATTAATTCGGGAATGACAGCCGTCCCATTAATTTTTCTCTCCAAACTAAACGTATAAAGTAGAAAACCTCTGGGAATCCAATGCCAAAACCACAAAGCCGATGCGTAAACTGCTCTAGAGGGGAAGCTAAACTTAGAAAATTGTTTACTAATTTGGTGATGACACTCGTCCCATATATAATTTTCTGGGTATAGAATCGGCTTTGATAGTCGGGTTCTAGAACTAATAAACTTCTAAAAGTCGAATGCTGACAACCCCGAGACGAACACTTTAACCCTTCTAGATTTATGTCTCGCTAAATTAAAAAAAAAATTGATTAATTCCATAATGACACCCGTCCCATATATTTTTCTCTCCATACTTACTACATGGCTAAAGTACCCGGTTTGAAAATCTGAAAATAGCACTAGAAAATTAGGGGTTAGCTCCCATTAATTGGGTAATAACATCTGTCCCATATATTTTTCTCTCCATACTAAACGCGTAGAGTATCCGGTCTGAAAATCACACAACAGCACTAGAAAAGTTGGACAAATTGAATACTATAAACTGCAAAGCGGATAGTTAAACCGTTCTGAAGTTATCTCCCGTTAAATTTTAAAAAACTATGTATTGATTCGGTGATATCACCCTTATCATATATTTTTCTCGCCATACTAATAGAATTGAATATCCGGTCTGAAAATCAGACTGTGTCACTATAAAATTTGGGAAAATTGAATGCTGAAAACTCCAAGGCGGATACTTAAACCCTGCTATATTTACGTCCCGCCGAAATTTTAATTTTTTAATATTTTGTCACTCATGGACTTTTCACTTACTCGAAATAATTGGTGTCATTTTAATATCCTTCTAAATTAAACCTCTAAACGTAAAATAAACAATTACTTAATATCGTATTAGCAAATTCATTGTCTGAAATTTTGTATGAAAACTAATTAAATTAACCCATATTAAATAAATAAGTAAACGACATACCTAATGATGCCCTTTAAACTACATTTTGCATTTTTTTTAATTGCTTTAGTAATTTAACCCATAAAATAATTTTACAAAAAATTGACGTCTTTTTTCCTAAAATTTGGTACAAAAAAAAACAAGTTAAATCTCTTTTCTCCATCTGTTTGAGACCTTGCGACACACGGGCGGCCAAAACGGCCTATTTCGTCTCATAAGCCCCGATTTCTAACTAGATAAACCCGTCGCGCGAATTTCCGAATTACCCGCTTCCTTTTTCGGATGCAGCCGATGTGCTAGCGGGTCGCTCCCAGCAAACGAGAAAAAACGAGTTTGTACTTCGGAGTCGGTCTTAACACAATTTGCTTTCTCCTGTGTTAAATAAAAGGAACTAATAGGACGTAAGCTTGTACCCGAATTATCGATGAAATCTCTCCCTTTTTGTTCTTTGCCTCGCTTAAATTCCATTCTCGCACAACTTTGCGAACTTCCGGCCCATCAGGATCCACCAGTCGGAAAGCCGTTATATTGGTGCCCCCGTACTTGAACTCCTCCAGATCCACCCCGTGCAGGTCCTGGAACGAAACAATCCTGCACTCTTTTGTATCGCGCCGAACTTTACAAGATAATTAAAATTTCCAGAGTGCAGCGAGAAGTCGGGTTTCCACAATAAAAGAACTCCTGGAACAATTGTCTACGTACTAAATGCGGAGGGTGTTCCCGACTAATTTAAAAGCGGCAACTCTGTGAGGAATAATGTGCTGAAAACTGGTTCCAGGGTTGTTGATACAGCGCACCGTGCATGGAAGAACAACGATATAATTAACCTTTTTGGCATCCCTGTTTTAGCAGTTAAAGGAATTTGTAAAAGTTCTAATTTAGCTAAATTTGCTCGGCTTGTTTCTTGCCTACAACCTTTGGCCAAATTCGCCCTAATTGCTAATTAGGAGCGAGGCACCACACGTTTGCATTTGTTCGCGCGTTAATTTAAAGCGGGTTAAATATTTACTCAAACCCGCAAAATATGGACTGATAGTAACTAACTATCTTATCTCACAAGCTTTGTAAAGCAGTTTTTGTCGCACGGTCAGCGATAAGTGCGGTAATGTCTTTTTTCACCCCACTCACTCAAGTCAAATGTCTTCAAGTCGTTTTTTAATTTTCGTCCTTTGAACTTCATAATCTGATCCATATCCAACCTTTTAATTTCGAATTAATTACCCAAACCTAACTTTACGAACTTGATTGGCTTTTTAGATAGCAGATGAGCTTTTCTTATTCATTCGCAACCCCTCCGTCTTATTCAAACCGCACTCGTCCGACTTTCATAAATACGGCTTACAAAAACAGGACGACCTAAACCAATTCGTTCATTGAAGCAACTTTACAGCGCTCGCCACAGTTCAAAAGGATTTAAAGAATCGTCTTCGTTTTGAGGCGACCGCAATGAAACACGGTTCCCGGATCCGATCATTTTAGCGGTTTTTTATTAAAAACACGCCGATAAAAACAAATTATCCGGCGAATTTATTCCGAATTCAAAGGACGTTCTATTAATTTCGCAGCGAGGTCCTTTAAAATCAAATTCCTTTGACGTGCAGGATATGCATATGCAAACGATCGAGGACGAGGGCAATTATGGGGTTATTTGATCGTGGAGTGTTACAGCAGATGGCGCCACCAGACGAACACATGGTATTAAAATCGCTTAAATTATTTTCAGGCATTGCGAGTCTAGAAATGCTTAAGGATTGAAATAGAGTGGTCGGCGCGGACGCTAGTCGTTACCCCCTCCACTTTTCGTTTTAGTACGTTTATTCCGGAATCCGTGTCGCATTATTCCGCCGAGTGTCGCTCCCAACAAGTTCGGCCGCATCTGTTAAAATCCAATTAGTTAAAAGCAGGATTTATGTAAGCTGACAAGTTCGATTGGCACGCTTTGCCACCTTCCGATAGCAACTTTCCGAACTACGTCGTGCAAAGGAAAACTTACTAAGGAGGTTATGAGATAGCTGTGATAGTCGCTCATCATCCCGATCTGTTGCGCCTGCTTCAAAACATCGTAAATCCTTTCAGTTGAACAATCTAAGACGATATGCGACTCTGCAGAATTCTTGATTTGCTTGAGCAGCGGCCTGAAATAAGAACATCTAATTAGGGTTGCTATGAAACGGAGGGGTGGAATATTGTGGTGGTTTTTCGGAGAGCGGAATTTTCATAAAAGTGCACTTGTGTGTAGGTAAATTTGTGAAATTTGTTTTTACTTTCGCAGCGTAAGCGGATTCCAATAGGGTAATTTTACCGCATGTAGAATAATGAAAAAGTTGGGTTCGCAGGATTGTTTGTCTGCTGGGATCTGGCGGACGGCGATTTTATTAAACAGAAAATGCACGAAATTACTGGAATAATTATTTGCAAATGTTAGGCGTACTTTGTATAGATGATAAAAACGTAATTAAAACTTAGATGACGTTATCTGATTTTTTTTATTTTGTGAAATAAATTTCCCTTGAGATTTATGCCGCCACGGACCTCTTTATCTGTTTAGGTATCGAATTCTACAATTTATTAATTTATTAAATTTGATATAATGTTTAAAAGAAATAAGTCTACAAGTCTTCGAGTTTTCATTTCTAAAATTTTCAGTTTCTGGATTTTCCAACTTTTGGATCTTTCAATTTATCGATTTACAATTTGAGAGGTTTTCAATTTTTGATTTTTTAATTTTTCTTTATTCTTTGGGTTTTTCGATGTTCTAGTTTTATAATTTTTGTTCTCCTTTTCTATGCAAAATTTTTCAATTTTTGGATGTGCAATTTTTCGACTTTTTAATTCGTGGTTATTTCAATTTTAGATTTTTTGATTTCTGTTTTCTTGTTTCTTCAAATTTTCGTTTCAATTTCTTTTCTTTATTTTTACAATTTTTCGATTTTTCAATGTTCAGATTTTATAATTTTTTGTTTCTCAAATTTCAGATTTTGCATTTTTTGATTTAAAATTTCTGGAGTTTTCATTTTTCAATTTTTCGATTCTTTAACTTTTCATTTCTACAAATTTTCGATTTACAATATTTTGTTTTTCTTAATTCTTTCAACTTTAATTTTTTCAATTTCACGGGTTTTCAATTTTTTTTTTCTATTTTTCGATTCTTTAATTTTAAGAACTTTTAATTCTTCTTTATTTCATTTTAAAATTTTTTGTTTCCTCAATTTTTCTAGGTTTAATTTTAAATATGTAATAATTACAATTTTTAAAATTTCTTACTTTTTCAATTTCAAGAGTTTAGAATTTTTCCATTTTTCAATTATTGGATTTTAAAAACTTTTTCATTTATTCGGTTTTTCAATTTTTGGATTTTTTATTTTTCAGTTTCTGAATATTTGATCTTTCAATATTTCGACCTTTCCATATTACAGTTTTTCGAGTTTACAATTTTGACAATTCTGTAACTTTTCGATTTTACAATTTTTAGGGTTTTCCAGTTTTTCGATTCATGAATTTTTTTCGATTTTTAAGTTTTTCAATGTTTCAATTTTTCGTTTCTTCAGTTCTTCCAATTCGATTTTCAGATTTTCGATTTTGCAGTTTTTCGATTTGCAATTTTTCGATTCGGTTTATTATTTTCTTTATTTTTTTCAATTATGAGATTTTAGTTTAGAATTTTATAATTTTTTGTTTTTTATCTGTAATTTTTTCAATTTTTTGTTTCTTCAATTTTTCACTTTGCAATTTGTCAATTTTGATATAATTTTTTGTTTCTTCAATTTTTAGATTTTGCATTTTTTGATTTAAAATTTCTTGAGTTTTCATTTTTCAATTTTTCGATTCTTTAACTTTTCATTTCTACAAATTTTCGATTTACAATCTTTTGTTTTTCTTAATTTTTTCAATTTTAATTTTTTCAATTTATCGTGTCTTCAATTTCGCGGGTTTTCATTTTTTTTCCATTTTCCGATTCTTTAATTTTTCGTGTCGGTTTTTTATTTTCTTTATTCTTTCGGTTTTTCAGTGTTGTGATTTTATAATTGTTCAATTTTTGGATTCTTCAATTTTTCGATTTTTTAATTCTACTTTATTTCAATTTAAAATTTTTCAGTTTCTTGATTTTCCAATTTTTTGTTTCCTCAATTTTTCCATATTACAGTTTTTCGAGTTTACAATTTTGAGAATTCTATAACTTTTCCATTTGACAATTTTTAGGGTTTTCCAATTTTTTGATTCATGAATTTTTTTCGATTGTTAAGTTTTTCAATTTTTAGTTCTTCAATGTTTCAATTTTTCGTTTCTTCAGTTCTTCCAATTCGATTTTCAGATTTTCGATTTTGCAGTTTTTCGATTTGCAATTTTCGTTTCGGTTTATTATTTTCTTTATTTTTTTCAATTATGGTATTTTAGATTAGAATTTTATAATTTTTTTTATCTGTAATTTTTTCAATTTTTTGTTTCTTCAGTTTTTCGATTTGCGATTTTTCAAATTTTCATTTTTTTTGTTTCCTCGATTTCTAGATTTTACAATTTTTCGTTTCTTTAACTTTTCATTTATTCAAATTTTCGATTTGCAATTTTTTGTTTCTTCAATTTTTATATTTTGCATTTTTGCTTTAAAATTTCTTGAGTTTTCATTTTTCAGTTTTTCGATTCTTTAACTTTTCATTTCTACAAATTTTCGATTTACAATCTTTTGTTTTTCTTAATTTTTTCAATTTATCGTGTCTTCAATTTCACGGGTTTTCAATTTTTTTTCCATTTTCCGATTCTTTAATTTTTCGTGTCGCTTTTTTATTATCTTTATTCCTTCGGTTTTTAAGTGTTGTGATTTTATAATTTTTCAATTTTTGGATTCTTCAATTTTTCGATTTTTTAATTCTTCTTTATTTAGATTTAAAATTTTTCAGTTTGTTGATTTTCCAATTTTTTGTTTCCTCAATTTTTCCATATTACAGTTTTTCGAGTTTACAATTTTTAGGGTTTTCCAATTTTTTGATTCATGAATTTTTTTCGACTTTTAAGTTTTTCAATTTTTAGTTTTTCAATGTTTCAATTTTTCGTTGCTTCAGTTCTTAAAATTCGATTTTCAGATTTTCGATTTTTCAGTTTTTCGATTTGCAATTTTTCGTTTCGGTTTATTATTTTCTTTATTTTTTCAAATATGAGATTTTAGATTAGAATTTTATCATTTTTTGTTTTTTTTTTATGTAATTTTTTCAATTTTTTGTTTCTTCAGTTTTTCAATTTGCGATTTTTCAAATTTTAGTTTTTTTTTGTTTCCCCAATTTCTAGATTTTGCAATTTTTCGTTTCTTTAACTTTTCATTTATTCAAATTTTCGATTTGCAATTTGTCGTTTCGATTTTTTATTTTCTTCATTTTTTCAGTTATTCGATTATTCATTGTTCCGATTTTATAATTTTTTGTTTGTCAATTTTAATGTTTTCAATTTTTCACTTTGCTATTTGTCAATTTTGATATAATTTTTCATTTTTCAATTTTTCGATTCTTTAACTTTTCATTTCTACAAATTTTCGATTTGCAATCTTTTGTTTTTCTTAATTTTTTCAATTTTAATTTTTTCAATTTATGGTGTCTTCAATTTTACGGGTTTTAAATTTTTTTTTTCCATTTTCCGATTCTTTAATTTTTCGTGTCGGTATTTTATTTTCTTTGTTCCTTCGGTTTTTAAGTGCTGTGATTTTATAATTTTTCAATTTTTGGATTCTTCAATTTTTCGATTTTTTAATTCTTCTTTATTTCAATTTTAAATTTTTCGGTCTCTTGACTTTCCAATTTTTTGTTTCCTCAATTTTTCTAGGTTTAATTTAAAATATGTAATAATTACAATTTTAAAAATTTTTTACTTTTTCAAGTTTAAGAGTTTAGAATTTTTCCATTTTTCAATTATTGGATTTTAAAACTTTTTCATTTATTCGGTTTTTTAATTTTTGGATTTTTAATTTTTCAGCTTTTTACTTGATCTTTCAATATTTCGATCTTTCCATATTACAGTTTTCGAGTTTACAATTTTGACAATTCTATAACTTTTCGATTTTACAATTTTTAGGGTTTTCCAGTTTTTCGATTCATGAATTTTTTTTCGATTTTTAAGTTTTCAATTTTTAGTTTTTCAATGTTTCAATTTTTCGTTTCGGTTTATTATTTTCTTTATTTTTTTCAATTATGAGATTTTATTATAATGTTTTGTTTTTTGTCTGTAATTTTTTCAATTTTTTGTTTCCTCAATTTCTAGATTTTACAATTTTTCGTTTCTTTAACTTTTCATTTATTCAAATTTTCGATTTTCCATTTGTCGTTTCGATTTTTTATTTTCTTCATTTTTGCAGTTATTCGATTATTCATTGTTCCGATTTTATAATTTTTGTTTTTCAATTTTAATGTTTTCAATTTTTCACTTTGCAATTTGTCAATTTTGATATAATCTTTGTTTCTTCAATTTTTAGATTTTGCATTTTTTGATTCAAAATTTCTCGAGTTTTCAATTTTTCGATTCTTAAACTTTTCATTTCTATAAATTTTCGATATGCATATTTTCATTTTTCTTAATTTTTTTCCATTTTAATTTTTTCAGTTTTTCGTTTCTTCAATTTTACTCTTCGAGTTTTCATTTTTAAAATTTCCAGTTTCTCTATTTTCTAACTTTTGCATGTTTCAATTTTTCCTCAGTTCTTCATTTTTCTACTTTTTCGACTTTGCAGTTTTTCCGATTTTTTAGTTTTGACATTTTTAATAAACCAAAACAATTGAAAAATTATAAAATTGAAAAATCAGAAATGAAAAAGGAAAAAGTATTAAACGAAAACTTTGGAACTTGAAAAGTTGACGAAACGAAAAGTTCAAAAACCGAAAGAAATTGAGAAATTTAAAAATCGAAATGTTGCAAAAACGAAATACTATAAAATCGAAATATTGAAAACCAAGAAATCGGAAAATCGGATACCTAATTGAGAAATCCAAAAAAAGCAAAACTGAAAAATTTTAAAAATGGAAAATCGAGAGCATTCAAATAAACGAAAAAAACTAAAAATCTGAATAGAAAATCGAGAACATGAAAGTTAAAAAATCGAGAAAACGATAAATAAAAATCAAGAACTTGAAAAATTGAAGTACCGAAAAATTAAAAA